CGCTTCTCGGCCGTTAAACCGTTGTCAAATTGAGTGTCTGACAATATGTCGTTTTGAATGCTTGCCCGAGCTGCCCGATTGAGTGACTGAGCGATCTGTCGGATTACTCGAGCTTTTTGATCTGGTAAACGAGCTAGGATAACTGAAGGAGCTGGGATGACTGATCCTAGCTCCTTTTATAGTTGGAATGATTTGACATTCCAGACAGATTGATTCAACTACCAAACTAGAAGTTCTCAACGATGTTGCGACATTTGCGCATAATTTCTTTACAACATTCCGACAATCACACGTAGGCTTGATTAAATTCACAACAAAAGGCTTTATCTGCAACATTTAGACATTGCAATTAAGATTGGTTTAAAAATTGGAAGAGTCGCATTTGGATAAATGATTCATAATTTTAGGCATCAAAATATTTATTTTGTTAATTTTGTGTAACAAATCATTCATCTGAGAAATATTCTGAATAATTATTTAAACAACTCATAACATTTTTTCAGCTTCGACGACCCTCTTGTTAAAATTAAAGATTAGTATAACACTTGAAAAGATATTTAACAGAAGAATTCCAATGGACAAAGCATTCTGTTGGGTCCATTCTCTGAGAAAATATTTTTAAATTTGCTGAATTCTTATAAGTTGGTTGGCACTGACTATATCAACTACTTTACAAATTGTTGATTTTTATTTCTTTAGCTTTACGAAAGCCTTCTCAGCAGCATGAGAAATATAGCGTTATACAAAATTCCAAAATTTTTGCAAAAAAATTCAAAGATCCTTGGCTTCATCTTCACGTATCGTTTGTTGAATGTGGTCCCAGTCGATTTCCACCTGCAAATTTAGAAATTTTTTTCATCAGTTGTCTGTCAAATCACATTATTATACATGTATATATTTTTGCAGTTACCAAGCAGTTTGGTACTTTAAAAATCACAAAATACTCAGAAATCTCCCAAATAGGTCTAAAATTCCTTAACAGCCAAGGAAAATTTTGCGCAAGCTACTTAATCAATATTGGGTCTTCTGTTCCAAGAAGTAATTTTAAACGCATTACCTCGGATTGATACTTTAGAAAATGCTGGTCTAGCTCTTTACGTCCCGTTTCTTGCAAATATTTCTGCCGATAACCGATCACCGTTTCCAAGTGCATCTTGTATCTTATCGCCAGTTCAAGCGCTCTTTAAAAAAAGAAAATTTACATCTGATTTATAGTGGAATAATTATCCTCTGATTATATCAAATTACACTACTATCAGATTAAATCACTAATATAACTGAAATAGTTGTTAACTGTTTAAGCCTCAGAAATTCTTCTGGAATCTTCCAAATGATATCATAATATTCTAACCGCTGCCATCGAAATAACGAAATATTGAGCATTATAGCACGGAAGATATGTCCATTCTGTACAAGCATAGTGTCAGCATCCTTGAAATTTCTCGTAAAAGCGATCATCATTGCCGACCGAACTTGTTTACTTTGCTCCGCTCGTAAATGTGATAGAAATTTCACCTTCTCAATCTGAAATTAAACCAGCCCCATCGTCATTTTGCATACTATATATAAATCACAAAATCGTTAACTACGAACAAAACATTTTTAATGTTTTAACGTTTTAGGCGATCAAATTTAAAGTAAATAATGCTAAACTAAACTGAAGTTCCAAATAAATTTAATTGCTTGATTTTGCTTATTATCTTTTGTAAATTACTAAACACCTATCACTGAATTTATATGATTTCAACTCATCTATCATAACTTCTTAAAAATATTTCTTAATTTTAATTAACATCTATCAAAAGATATGTCATTCAGAAAGAACTTTTGAAAAGAAAAGACTAGAAAGGGTTTTTGCGAATGCATAATTCATCTTAAAAAAACTGCATAAAAGTTAACTTTAAAATTAATTTAGTAGCAAACAAAAAATTTGAAAAGCGCTATTTGGAACTCGTTTTACTTCAAATAATTTTACCTCATCGAGAGCGCTATATGCAATTTCAGCTGCGTAAAAATTTTTTGCATCTGTAGCTATCACCGCAAGCATTCCCCATAAATGATTCGCCTGAAATGTAAGAAGAAAAATCTGAAGTATGTCTGCAAGAGGTGTCGACATCTTGAATTCAAGATTTCCAAGATCCACTCTCGTATCAATGTTTCCAGTATAGCAGCAGTCAAATTTCCTGCATGCAATTCTGTAATACTTTTGTGAAAATTGCAAAACATACTCGAATGTGTCTACACAAGCGAATTGCTTGATCCCATTTATTGGCGGCAACGCATGAATTCAGAGCGGGTGCAAACGGTGTTATGGTACAAGGAATAAGTGCGCCATCAGAACGCCTCACTGAGATGTGACTACCAACAAAGCTGTAGCAAAACAGTATAAAAACACTTTAGATACAGCTTCGATCTCCTACATCCTGATTAACATGATTTGGAAGCTTCCTTTGAACGTTGTAGAATCATTCCTAACTAAAAATAATCAAGACTCCAAGTAAGAGTTAGTTTATTCTAGGCTTTTCACTAAAACCTTCTCTAAATTCCAAAATTGAATAATAAACAAACTTCTGTAGATATGCGGACTTTCCAAAATCATTCTCATCGTTCTCAAATATGGTTTTCTGGAGTAAATCACGATCGATAAAGACAGCAGCTGGATATAACCACACAACAAGACGATTGTCTTGCAAACCAGCAAGCATATTTGTTTGATCGTTAAAATGAATGTTTGTCACCATCACACCTCCAATACTACTTTGGATTCAGGAATGTGAGTAAAAGTTCGGAATATAAGAGAATATTTAAAACTATCTTCTGAAAATTTAGCGATTGTAGTGTTACTCTACGATCGAACAACAAAGGCCGGGAGACTAACATATCACATTTTGGATTCCATACGGATTACTAAAATCTTGCACTCAGGATTTTAGTAATCCAAATTAATAAAAAGTCGCTACTTTCAAGTTAAGGAAATGCAGTTATGTTTGCGCTAATCGGAGCTACTGATGCTCAATTTTATGATTTACGATGAAATTAGCCATATGACTTTTTTATATTTCACGATTTCAATCACTGCCTCTTGGGCTTAAAAACAACTCACCAATTTTGGCAATTTTTTGAAAGGCACCATAAGTCTTCACGACTGCCAGAAAACAATCTAGGCATTTATCTATAAATGCTAATTTCCGTTCACTAGCGGATCCACATTGATCGATCGCTATTTCAATTATATCATTCTGCAACGTTTTTCAAAAAGCTTTTCAAACCACTTCAACATTTACTGATTTAACCATCCCGAAGTATTGGTAACTTCAAAAAAATTAAACATACAAATTTCATGTGTACAAGCAAAAGTTGTAAAATATTCAAATTTTCAGAAACTAACCACATTTTTGACTACCTTACAAATCAAATACTACTGAAGCAATCCGACTTCGCAGTCATTACTGGAAATCCATAAAATCCTTACAGTATGTACAAGTTTTCTACTGCCAACACTCTTCCCGGTGATTGTTTCAAAAAAATGCACTGTCTTCAAGTCCGTTCGATCTCGAATAGCTATGGTATCATTCGAAATAGCGGCTGTCTTTTCATTTGTTGCTTCTCCAGATATATTCATAGCCGGTAACTTCAACAAGCACTGCATACGACCTTCGTAATTGTATACCTGCATTAGATTACCATCGACCAACAGGAAATACCTACAAAAATAGTTTACAGCACTCCAAGCAGACGGAACATGAATGTTCTCAAAGGATTCTTCTCTCCCTATTGTGAATTTTTTTTCTTTTTTATTTTTTAATATTTTTCTGTGTTTGTAGAAGGAAACAACTGCGAATGAATTATATGGGGATATAAAAAGCGCATACTTTTCACAAAGCATAATCATAGAAACATTGCATTCCTTCAAATCCATTATAATTGGTGTATTCCAGTTCTTTACGCTGAAATTTTGAACTGAGTAAAAATAGTAATTATTAGTATTCAAGAAATTAAGTGCTATACATTTCCCACTTTGGTCTATAGTCATGCATAGTTTTCAGTAAAACTAGCCTGAAAATGTAACACTGTTTAGTAGTAGCTACCACAAGTTGCTCGAAACCAAGAGACAATTTTGTGATTCGATCTCGTAGTTCCAACTTTTCGCAAGCAACATCAGAAAGCACATCACGAATATCGATCAGTTGGCGTTTCGTTTGTACTGCTTCTATATTTCGCCATGTAATTCGTCTTAATAGTGCAGGATTTAACTAAAAATTCATTTGCATTTTTGATAATTTGCAACTGCAATATTATTATAATGTTTGCTTGTGTCTAAAAATGACTGATTAGAATAACGATTTGTAGGAAAACTTGAACTTCTGTTTGGTCAGCAACCAATAGATTATTAAAACTTAGTCAGGAACGTCTAGAAAAAGTTTAAAAAAGTATAAAATGAGTAAATTTCAGAAAAACTCTTGAAATGGTTACTTCTCGACTAAATAAGCATGCAGAACACTTCCATCGGAGCATGCACCGGCCAGTTGCGTGCTGTCTGGCGACCAGCTGATATTATAAATGCTTCCCGTGGATAGTTTTTCTAATGAATGAGACCACTACAATGTATAAAAATAAAATATAAACATCAAAAATTGATTCTGATATCATAGTAAGTAGAAAACCTGAATGATATCAAATGGAACAATTTCCCTATAAGAAAATATGGAGATTCACTGGCTTCTCTGTTCAAAAGAACCTACTCCAGCCTTATCGCATAATCTAAGAAGGTTGAAAGATCCAACAGCAAACAGGTCACCATCAATATTCCATGCGATTGATGTAATTGGATAGTCTTGTGGACTACTGCAATACATTGGGCGTCCATATTCGTCCCACACCTACAATAATTTAAAAAAGACCGCTCTCCACAAGTTCCAATCAGCCATGTTGACAGGACATATTTATGGACGAATAAAATCCATGGTTATAGAAGAGATGAAAATTGATGAATCCTCAAAAATTTATTGATTTTTGAAGATAATTTCTGTATAATTGAAAAACTGTGGGACAACCTTATATTTGCAGTCTTCTCCACCGCTCACCAAAAGATTTGTATTGGCGTTCCAATCAATACATAGTATTATACCATCATGAGCCTTCCATCTGATTACTGATATCTAAAACTTGTTCGGATATGGGGGGATTAGTCGAACAACTACATAGAAATGAGGGGATTAAATTAGCATAATTGCGGTTACAACAAACAAATGAATAAAGAATGTAAATATTGCTAACAGAAAGGAAGCTCTATTCTTCAAATAGTTCCGGGAAGATTTGTTCTACAGATATATAAAGCTTCTGGCTAAGATAGAACTGTTCAGCAAGCTTAATTAAATCCAATAATTCATCAAATTTTAAGTTGAATTGTCGGAAGCCTATAAGGAGAGCCAAAATAACGAAGTTTGAAATGTGACTAATGTTCCGTTTGTATCAGTTGCAGTAGCTAACAGTCTGTTCTTATTTGAAATACAACCATAGATACTTTCCAATTAGTGTCTTTGCTGGTAAGGAACTTAGGGATGAGACGAATTTCAAAAAAAAAAAGAAAAAAACGTAAAAATTCCTTAACTACCTGCGATTTAAGAACTTTAGTGAAACAATTTTCACCACAGCAAAAAGCAATACATGAATCATTGCCGTTCCAGCAAATCCCATACACGGGATATTCATTTTCCAATAAGATACTTCGGAGCATACCGCTTCGAGACCACATCTTCACCGCACCGTCTTCTCCACCTCAATCATCAAATTTAAGTCCTTTTCATGCACTGCCTACGTTAAATCGCTATTCATCTTCCCAATTGCGAACTGAACAAAAATTTAGGTCAAAATTGAAAGAACAAAATCCCAGCTAATCTCACCTCGATGCGGTATAGATGGCATTTCCGAGAAAAATGAAAAAAAAATTTTAAAGTGAATTAGTACCTTTGTAAAAAATTAAATTTTTAACAATTTTATTGGGAAGAACCAACAAGTGGCAAAAGTAGATCCGTCGTGACTCCATCGACCGGATAAAACTGCTCCCTGATGAGCTTCTACCACTTTTTCAATACGTCCATTTCGACTGCAAATGTAAAATTTACCTGAAATTCGCATTCACCTCAAAGATGCTAGGTAGCAATCAATACTTGATTTAGTTTGTTCTCGAAAAGTGTAACATTTCCCCGGCATTCTATGGTGTCACCTAAAGTAAAGCTTTCTGAATCAAGATACGTTATGGAACCTTCCGTGGACGTCAAAGCAAAGATATCATTCAGCTGTTGCTTGGCGTTGTCGCGTGGAAACCACTGAATATCTGTCGGATATAACGAGCTGAAATTTCTCAACACTTTCTGACTCTGTCAGGAAATTTTACCATTTAACCAAATTTCACACTAAAATCCTGCTATTTTCACCAATTATTTGATGTCAAAATAACATTAACGCCATAGATTAAACCTTCTAGCTAGGAATCTTTGCTATCAGACCTAGGTAAGTGCATTAGCATCTGGACATCACTATTCACTAGATTCCATTTTAACACTTGCTGATCGTCTCCGACGCTGACCAGTTCGTCGCTTCTCACCCAAGCGACAGCTAATACCGAATCCTCATGTTTTGGTTCTCGTGCCGTTGTCACTTTCAACCGCATTTTAAACGTTAATCTGTAAAATAATTTGCATTCGAAAGCCCAACCAGTGAAAAAATTTCATGCAACCAAAGAAATCAGTTAAAGTTTATCAAGCACCCAATTTGCTAAATTCGAGCAAACTTACATTGTTTATAATTCGTTTTTCGCTTGCTACAAAGTGAAATCAAACATTTGCTCAAAATTCGTTGCTAATAGCAACCACATCAAAGCTATATATGACATTGTGCAGCGCAATTATTCTCTTGAATTAGAGCCATGACATGTTTGGAATCACTTGAAGTAGCAAATGTCGTCGAAGCTGAAAAAATGTTATGAGTTGTTTAAATGATTATTCAGAATATTTCTCAGATGAATGATTTGTTACACAAAATTAACAAAATAAATATTTTGATGCCTAAAATTATGAATCATTTATCCAAATGCGACTCTTCCAATTTTTAAACCAATCTTAATTGCAATGTCTAAATGTTGCAGATAAAGCCTTTTGTTGTGAATTTAATCAAGCCTACGTGTGATTGTCGGAATGTTGTAAAGAAATTATGCGCAAATGTCGCAACATCGTTGAGAACTTCTAGTTTGGTAGTTGAATCAATCTGTCTGGAATGTCAAATCATTCCAACTATAAAAGGAGCTAGGATCAGTCATCCCAGCTCCTTCAGTTATCCTAGCTCGTTTACCAGATCAAAAAGCTCGAGCAATCCGACAGATCGCTCAGTCACTCAAT